AGAAATCCCGACACCGACATCACACTTGCAGTCAAAAAACTAAAAAGCAGACACCGAATATTACTCTCGGGAACTCCCGTGCAGAACGATTACAAAGAGCTATGGGCAATCATGGATTTCATTGCTCCCGGAAAATTTGGAACCTTGCCTGTATTCGAAGAAGAATTCGCCAAGAGAATAAAGACGGCAGGATACGTCAATGCATCTCAACTTTCCGTTCGCATCGGATATCATTGTGCAAGAAGGCTTGCGGAACGGATAAAACCGTACATGCTGCGAAGAACGAAAGAAGATGTAAAGTCGGAATTCATACCCAAGTCCGATGAGGTGCTCTTTTGTCGATTGTCCGAAGAACAGCGTTTGTTGTATTCACAGTATTTGAAGAAAGACGTGGAGATGAAAAGACTATTGAAAATTCGGCGTTTGCCTAACGAACGGTCTGGAGCGCATCTGCACATAACTCGTCTGACGCAAATTTGTAATCATCCCGATATATACTTGTCGAATTTGGACAGATGTCTAACGGAAAACCACGGTTATGTGTATGGAGAAGCGGAAAGATCGGGGAAAATGATTGTCGTAAAGGCACTTTTGGCCGAGTGGGAGAAAAAGGGAAACAAAGTTCTGTTGTTCTGTAGGTCTGCTCGAATGTTGGATATTCTGGAGACGTTTGTTTCGCGCGAAGGGTATAACTATCGTCGTCTTGATGGATCAACATCGATGCATATTCGAGACAAACGCATAAATGACTTTAATAACAACGAAAACATATTTGTGTTTTTGTTGACGACTCAAGTCGGAGGTGTTGGTCTTAATTTGGTAGGAGCCGATCGTGTTATCATATACGATCCTGATTGGAATCCGTCGACCGATGATCAAGCGACTCAGAGAGCATTGAGATACGGGCAGACTAAACCGGTCTCCATATATAGGTTGATGACTGTTGGCACGATTGAAGAGAAGATTTATCACAGGCAAGTTTTCAAGCGAGCGCTTGCAAGAAAAGTCACAAGAAAACCAGACTTTGATGATATTCAATTTGAAGTAAGTGTTTCGTAGTGGTGATACTGGGTAAAATTGAAACTCTGGCATTCAGCAACTGACGCGTTTGGTATGGTTGTCTATAGGCGGATGAGTTACACGATTTATTTTCTCTTGGTGGCGAAGACGAAGAATTAACTGATACTAGATACATGTTTGAAGAAGCAGAAATTCGAAAAGTTCGGTTACCTAAATCTAAAAAAGCTAATAGTGATAATGTTTCGAAGCGATTGACGAACGGGTCATCAGCCCTTTCGAGAGAATCTCAAGACGAATTAATAGCAGTATTTGATTATAGTACCAATCAGATAATACATGTTCGTCGCTCCACTCAACAGGAAGAAGATTTACATCCTCCTGAAACATCGGATAAGAAGGAGAAGGACATTGGCGAACTTTTAAAGAAACTTCCCAAGATTAAAAAGAAAATACGATCCGATGACCCCGTTTCCGGAAATGCTGATTTACTTAATGGATCCTCTGTCGTTAATAATTCTGACGCTTCTAAAGCAAATGGATCATCATCTCTGCCAAATCGAAGAAAACGCCGAAGACTTGAATTATTTAAAGCAACGGAAAAGCAAAAGACTCCTACTGTGAATAACGTAGAAGGCGTTGCTCGCGTAGAGTTTCGTAACCATTCTGATGACGAAGATAACAAAGGACGCGACGCGCGAAGGAGAGGGATCGATAGTTCTAGCGAAGAAGAGAAAGAGGAAGGAAATGATGATAATCATATTATACAAGTACTGTACGAGACAGCTGGGCTTCATTCTGCTTTTAATCATCAACGTGTTGTACGCACAAGGGGAAAGAGATCACGGATGTCAATGGCAGATATTGACGCTGTTGCCGAGTCGGTTGCAAATGATGCGAATCATCATCTTGACGAGAACGCCGATTTTCTTGCACGTTACGGTCCGGGGACGCTTACTTTTACTGGGCGAAATGGTAATAAAATGCGTTGTTTGTCTCTCCTCAGTCTAAACATCATCAGTATTAATTAGTCTTTTTGACATGATAGGGGAGGCTGGTATACCTAAAAAGAGTTCGAGTAGTAATACTGCTTGGTCGCTGTACAAGAAAGGGTGGAACAAGCGATAAGGTCCAAATTGCATTCACTCATTAAGAAATTTTAGAATAGATTAGAGCATACATATAATTATATAATTCTTAAATGTATTTGCTGGCATCACATTATTTTTTTTGCCTTACAAGTCATTAAGTGTACATATAATCTTTCTTGTTTCCTCTCAAGGTGAAATAAAGTGTACAATATTAGCTAGATTTCAATCCGTGTGAACGTAGGTATTGATTAGCATGGCGTTTCCTTCCATTTGAGTTTTTGTTTGGTCATTACAGCATTATTATTATTGAAAAGTCAGTAGTAATTTAGTTATCAAGTCAGATTAGCGTAATAGTAATAGTAAGAGATAGCATAGTAAAGCATACCCCAATATTCTATTTGATGACCGCGACCTGTCACGTCTTTTTTTTTTATTATCATTAACGGAACCAAGGTACCGAAATCAATTATCAAATATTAAGGTTTACAGATAAATTATCCATGTCGCAAAGAGCAACGGATCTAAATATTTTTGATACTTTAACGTAACGGATATAATTACAACCCTCAATATAAATTAACGCCCGGAAGCGCCATGACTACACCACTATGACATCTCCTATACATCCAGCACACCTTCCAATCTCAAACTCGTTACTAAATTGTGCTGCAGAGTATCGGCGACTACCCTCTTCCAATCTCTCCGACGAAAAGCTACTCCGAGAACTTCGAGACGAAGACGCGTATCGATCCGTTTGTATCAATAACCCGTTATAAGCCGTTTGAAGTCGTGATAACCTTCTCTCGAGTACTTGTATCTTATCCCGCTCTTGCTGTAACTGAATTTGTAATTCTTTTTCAAAAGGAGATGAAGATGCGCTGGCAACGACATGTTCAGCCGCGTCTGTAGAAGATTCACCGTTGGGAAATTCTTGACCTTGTAGTGATTCGTATTCCATACGATAAAACGTTGCTTGTTCGGATAATCTAGCGGATCTCGACTGTTCGTCTTCAATTTCCATGCTCAATTGCTCGAGACGCTCACGGTACTGGAGAATTTCCAACTCATATTTAGCAGTTCGTGATCGTTCTCTATCGACTTCTTCAGCAAGAGATAATTTGTCGTTGCTTATCTCTATAAATTTCTCCCGAAGTTCGGCTAACTGAGACATACAACTTCGATTTTCTAGTGTAAGATCATCGACCTTTTTACTAAGATCCGTTATTCGCTTTGTTAGTTTCGCGTTTTTGTCTTGGCTGGATTGCAACTCGGTAGAGAATTCATACCGCTCGGCAGAAACCGTTTCCAGAAAAGCCGACATCTGCGAAGCCTCTTCGCGAAGTGTTGCAAGTTCAGTTTTTTGAGCATCATATGAAGGCTGCAATTCTTCGAGCGATTTTGTCAATTCTGCCTTTTCCGATAAAAGTGATTCTACTTGTGCTTGTAAATCTCTTAATTTATTCTCAGCTTCTTTTGCAACGTGCTCAGCATTAGTAGCCTTCTCGCTCTCTTCCGAGAGTTTCTGGTTCGTGTTTGTTAGGCGATGTCGTAAATCTGATAATTCCATTTCCAACGCTTCGCAACGATCCTCTTTATCCTGAAGCGATTTCTGAACAGCTTCAACTTCCTCAGAAGATGAGCGTATTCTAGCCTTTTCAGCAGTCAACTGTTCAATGATTGAATCTTTCGTCTCGATAATATTATCCTATGAAAAAGACCGAGTAATGTTTAGTGTCACAAGACTCACCGCTATATGATGTGAATAATTAAACATTCCATACTGTCAGTGTGTTATATATGTCTATTACTGTTTTTTCTATAAACATATTATTTCTCTTTTTTTTTTTTTTTATTTTCTTTTCACGCATAAAGATGCTGATTCATTATCAATTACCTTTGACTGCACCATTTCTAATAATTTTTGTCTTTCCTTTGCAGTTTCTTCCAAGTTGTCCTCGCCTTCGCGGACTTTTTGTTCAAGTTCCGCAATTTTTCGTTGCAATGCACCCACGAGCAACTGACCCTCTTCGAGAAGTAACTCGCTATTTTGATATCGATCCGCCATGGCTGAATAATTCTGAAGCTCGTTCGTGAGTGCAGTCTTTTCTTCAACAAGCACGCCTATTGTTTGTCGCTGCATTTGACATATGTTTGCAAGTTCTTCGTATGTGACTGGTCCATCGATTTGGGATGAGCCATCAACAACCGTTGCATCAAAAATAGCTTGTGATAAAGGAATTGTGGATTGTTGGCCGTGTGGCTCAGAAATTGGTTGTAATCCTTCTACCAAAGTACTGTGTGGCGTCTGGTTTGTCGTCGAATGCGACTCTCCATCACTTTTGTACTCTCTGAAAATGAAATGGTGTTAAAGAGTGTAAAACAATAATCGCGCGGCTATTGTTTCACGGAACTCACTGTACATACTGCAATGAGAGATTATTTGAAGTCTTGTGGCTTCTGCCTTTGTCCGCGTTCTGATTCGATCTAAGCCATTAAGATACTTGCATTTTAGTTAAACGTAACGAAAAAAGTCTGTACGCCGACAAGCCTTGTATAAACCTACGATCTGTAAGCCAACTTTCGTCACTTACTCGCTAGCTTTAGTATCAGGAAAGTCGGTCTGTACGTTGCCGACGTCTGAGGCCACACTAGAAGTCTTAGTACGACTCGATTCTTCACTTAATCTGCGGTTTGGTCCACTCGAAGCTGAGGTATTCGCGGCTTTCTTCTTTTGAAACTTCCTCAACTGTGGGATGAGAATGAATCAGCACCATGTTGATCTGGACTGCATTATCGCAAAGCGTTTATAAATGACCTTTGACTTTGCAGCCAAGATTTTTTCCTCGCGCGTTGCATCAGTCTCCATCTAAGTAGTGTAATTATGTTTTGGTGTTTAGCTAGAGAGGAATTCTCTTGACACCTGCTGTAACATCATTGGATGTTATACAATTACTATTTCTGTATTTAGGCATCTGAGTATCGTATCACAAACAACATTATCAGAATCTGATTGCGAGGACCAATGATATGAGTCTCGATAGTGTAATAAAGTAGTAGACTCGCGTCGGTGATACTGATATGATGAATTGGTCGTATCAGTATTTATGTTAGCATAATAAATCCCCCAAAATTGACAATGATTTCCTCCTGAGTTATTACAATGTGATGGTGGGCGTGATTTTATTGGTGAAAGCCGCTCGGTTAATGCGAGATCACAATGTTACAATTCGGGTGATTGGACTCTATAGACGATTTAATAAGACACTTGCGCAAATGTTATATAAAAGCCAATACGCAGTTGAATAAATCCAAATTAATACGAGCATGGATTAAGCATCTGCCAAAAGTTGTCGATTACTTGAACAATAGCCATAACATTAGAAAGAGTTGAATCTAGACCATCTATAAATATAAGCGTCCAGTCGGGTAATAGTGAAACAAAGTTAAACAAAAGTGACACAGTCCGATATTTACTTGCTAACGCCGAATGGGAAGGTGGCATGGAGAATCAGAAACGCGCAACTCAAATGTTACGTTCCGTTCAATAAAGCCCCCTGATGGATTTAAATGTTCAGAAACTCGCCTTACACTATGCATATTTACAAAATATTTAGAGCAGAAATGCGTCAAATTAGTAACATAACTGTTTGGCGTAAAATTTTATTCTATTATTATCGAGAATTAAACGCCAAACCAAAGAATAATCAATGAAGCAAACCATTCTATATTCAGTTATCACGTGTTCTCAGTAAGTACTATAGAACCGCCGATATAACCGGTTCGGTCAGCAAAAAAATATCGGCATATGAAATTTTTATTATAAATGTCGCTATATTATAATTAATATGGGGCATGCTGCAACAAAACCAGGCAAAGTGAACATCTTACAAACGTAAAATGAGGGGATGATTATGATGTGGCTGTAAAATTGACCAGTGTGACTGATGACATTTTGAAAATAATAATAATATAAATAATGGTGTTCATTCATAACTTATGGACTTGTTAATTTTAATGTTCACTTATTATTATATACCAAAATGTGACGGATATAAACTATAACAGGATTAATATATATAGGCTTGTCTCTATATAAAAATAATATTAATATTAATATGAAACTAATTTACATTAAATCAATCATGGAACACTATTAGAAGTGTTTTAAAAAAAGAGCAAGGAGAAAAAATTGCTCCATACTTTACAATCAATAATACCCAAACTCTCCAGGAATACCTAATATGGGGCAGACTGCAACAAAACCAGACAAAGTGAACAAACTAAAAGTGGCTAATGTGGCTGGAAAATAAACTAATTTTGCTGACAAAATTTTGGTGAGGCGCCACCTTCAACGAACTTCTATCTAAGCATTATAACACCAACTATATGCCGCAGACGTTCCTGGTACAAGTTACAGAACTGATAATGGTGACACCATCATCAGTTCGTACTGTTTTATCATTGTTGAAGCTAAGCGAGGGATTGGCTTACAAGTAAGATCCACACCAATATTCTGACACCTGTTCTCCCACTCTGCTGGTATTAGTATCAACACAATGTTGTCATGGCTGCACGGTTCTTTAGAGCCTTCAAGAAGGCCATAGAGAAACTTGAGAATTACTACTTGCATGAATCAGAAGCGGCTAGATGCGTTTGACAGCAGTGTGGATGGTTATTGTCATTAATAATAATGTTGCATATAGTGGTCTTTTTTGCTGATGTAGATGTATTGACTCTAAGAGAAGGAGAAGGAAGTAGAGGGGTAACTCTATTGCAGTTGTTTCAACACTTGGTTTTTAGGCTTGGGTTTCAGTGGTTTGGTCAAGCGACAGTTGACGATGCAAATCTCGGATGTTTGCATTAATTTTTCATTATTGGAACTTTTTTCTTTGTTATAATCAAGCCATTTTTTAAGAGAGTTGTCTGCTACGTTGAAACCACGCTTGGCAAGAGGTAAAGTGTCAAGTCTGTATGCACTTAGATGCGAAAAGACGTACAGTGTGTAACAAAAAAAATTGGCCTCCATTTTTTGTAATAGCTCAACAAATATTCGTTGAAATCAAACGCACAATAGCTTGTTTTAAAGCCTGAAAGCTAAGAATTTTATTATATATATATTATAACACATTAATAATTAATTCGTTCGCCATTGCTATCAATTATCATCTGACAACGACGATTCATT